TAGCCCTTCAGACTCCTATACAAGCTACTAAGTAATAGACCTTATAAATCCAAACAGTGTTGATTAATTGCACAGTAGCAAATTGCAGATTTTGCCTTTGTAATCAACATGTACAAAACAGTCAACAAGATGAGGTGTGCATAATACAAGTTCAGTCTTCATAACTGACTGACTGCAGAGTTTGTGGTGTCATSTCGATTCCTTGCAATTAACTGCTAAATCAATGATGAAATTTGCAAGCCACTTACATTGTATATTATAAGGCACTGGCTTTTTTGAAAGAGGTCTGGTTAAGTCTGTTTATCTGGCCCAAGCTTCAGGATACACTTACCTATAGTCCCCGACTCCCTATGCAATATATTAAAATTAGTCTTCTTTTAATTRTTTTACCCAGACCTTAAGCTGCCCATTCCTAAAGCTGGAGCATCAGGTCCAACAGCCAAACTGAATCATGTGATTAATTTACCTTCTAATAATAGAACACAGAAGATAAAGGTAGGCACAGGGAACCCATTCAAGTTGCATTACAAAAAATGTTTCATCTAGGATTGTTTCAATGCTGCTTGCGTATTGCTATTAGATGTCAAATTACTATGTACCTAATAATTACCATCCCATTATTTGATAGCAGATTGCAACCCTGCCCTGTACTGCAAAAGAGCCAATGTTGTGATCGTCTTGCAATCCATGACCCCCAGTTATGTTAACCAAGTTTCAACTAAATAAATTTCCAACAAGCTGGTATTCCATGAGAAATCTAGAGCAGCAGTTACCAAATTTAGGACGAAAAATTGCTTTGTTGGTCATTTGTGCATAACTTAATGGACTTTGTAAAGTTTATCCCTGTTATCATTCATGTTTATAGGGGTTAGTTAATCTTGGAAACACTTGCTTCTTCAATGCAGTCATGCAGGTAATAGATAATAATATAATATACACGCATATCGGAATTATGCCCGGATACAGACGCGCATAATTGCTCTCTTTCTGCATAATTTACCAAATTGTGCATAATCCTGCACAGTTCATGTATTTTTTCCATTGTATACCATTTTCAAAGATGAATTGCCTTCTACTGATGTGTTTTTTTTTTGTTGTTGTTGTTGTTTTTTGTTGTTGTTGTTGTTGTTGTTGTTATTTTTTTTGCTGTTTTTTTGTATGGTGAGACATAAAGCTTGCTAGAAGTGAAAAAGTCTAAAAAGATATTTCCTTCAGTTGGTACTGACTTCCATATTTCATAATTAAAGACAAAACAGTAGTATTACATGAAAAACTACTTTGTGTTAAAACACAATATACCTAAAAATATGTAAAATTTCCCAGATTTTACTTTCTTTTGATGTTGTCATGCCGCATAATTTTCATCATAATTAACCATTTTCTCCGCATAATACTGGGAAAAAATTCCAAGTATTTTTTTCGTGCAATATTCCGACATGTCTGATATATAAATTTATTAATTCATTTAATATAATATAAATTTCACAATGCAGCTCATTGATTTATGTGTTGATYGTGACATGGAGAAGCAACACTGACATATGCTGCATTATCGGGAATGAAAAATGCACACAAATAGCTCATAACAAAATTAATTTAAACAATTGTTCTGACCAATTAATTCACAATTTCAAATTGTTCAAACAGGAATTCTTCCAACAAATAGACTCCTTGCAGTTCASGAGAATRCTTCTCCTACTGGAGGACAAACAATAGATTTTTGYCCCYAGATGGAGCTGCTTTGATGYCAYATGCAAGGGCTGTACAGTATAGTCATCTGATTAGCTTAAAGCTTAAAGGTTTAATTAGACAGCACAACCTTTGTCTAAAACCATAATAACTTAATTCCTTCATTCCATTCATTGGTCTACAGAATCTTAACCAAACAGAACTTCTTCACATCGCTACGACATATGTCAACCAATCAGACTACCCACAAAGGATTAAGGGTCCGAATGACACTGTAAGAATAAAACTCATATTTCAAGGAATTTTTTCTTTTCCTGCATCTAATGATGTAATTTTATTATAATTATTTATTTTATTGTAGGTGACAGTCCAAGTGACCAATCCTGCAGGGTCATTATTGGTATCTTTGAATAAACTCCTGACTGACTTTAGGTCCTCTGCATCAGGACCCCTTAACCCCAAGTTCTTATTCTCTGAAATATGCAAAAAGTAAGTCTAACTGCATGTAATCAGAGCTGCAACCAGGGAACTTTACGAGAGGATKCGTATAAACGGAAATAGGAATTTAATTTGACGTTTTCACTACACCTCTAGTTATCTGGGTCTAAAATTGCGCACAATGTAGCTTGTGCATGTGCTAAACCAGTTAAACCATTGGGAGGTCWACCCTTGGTTAAGTGCGGACATGGTTCTGTGCATCTTGGAGTTCATTGCCTTCAATTGATCCTCAGCATYCATACATGCTTGTGTTATGTAAACAAAATAATGTGGATTCTGTATTAACATGAGATCATAATATATCTAAAAAATGGTAAATCATGATTGATTGGTATCCTCTTTTGTAGAGCTCCGAGGTTCAAAGGTTTTCAACAGCAAGACAGCCAAGAGCTGCTGCGATATTTACTTGACTCTGTTAAAACTGACCAATTGAAGGTAGACATAGCTCTAAGAAGACTATATTACCAATAGCTTAAACCATACTTCAAACTTGGTGTACTTCTAATATCGTTTCTCTCTGGTACGTTCAGATGAATTGTTGTCGTTTTAATATTTCCATTATTTTCTCTATTCTCAAAGCGAGTTAAAATAGGAGTTCTGAAGCACTTTGAAGTCAGTGAAGGAGTTGACATCAAGAGTTTACCACCAGAAAAGAAAGAAAAAATCAAAGGTTTGACATTGATTTCTTTTATCGCCAAGACATGAACGTGTAGTRATGATTACTGTATTAATCTACGCTCTAGTAAATTGGAAAATTAAAACTTAAAATTTCAAAGCAAGAAATAGTTGTRTTCTTCGTGGAGATTCAGTGAAATGATTCGCTGGTTTTAATTGCGTGGTTTAACTAATGGAGATCAAATACTTAATTCCTTTTAGAGTATGTTCACTACGTCACTGCTCCGTGTATCGATAGTGTATTTGCTGGTAAACTTGACAGTATTATAGTCTGCCATAGATGTCAAAAAGTAAGAAATGTTTATAATTCTCGTCATCCCCTTTCTCTACAACTTCTTTCGTCATTAAAAGTTTCTCCATCCTCAGTGATCTAGATTTGTCTATTCTTCATTTATATTTTGCATTTTGTTTTATCTACTATGTGCTGTATATTTCCCTCTGTGGACTTTCTGTATCTTCGGCCAAGTGGTAAATCATAACGGTTGCCTTTTGTTTCTTTTAAGGCGATTTATGTCTCTGTTGTTCATGCATGTTTCTGATGTTTTTACCGCTTTTTCAGGAGTCCAGAGTAACTGAAAGTTTCCTTGATTTGTCATTATCACTGGTTAAGCAACAGGTAAAATATGAAAACAAAACTTTATTAGCCCTACCCAGGCAACAATTGGCCTACTAGAAGTACCAATTATTATCCTGTCTTACCATTTTCAAAAACTGTATATTAAATAGTTTTTTGCTAGGAACAAAAAGTCAAACCTAAGTCAAACAAAACGAGTCCAGCTCTTAGTGGGAAGAAGCAAAACTGTGCTGTGGATCAAACCGAAGACAGCAAACAGCAGCCTCTCAGTAAACATCAACAGAAAGTTGCTAAAGAAGCTAAAAGGGTATTGCGTCATAACATTAACAGGATTGACTGTATGTACATGTTTAATTGCTTTTTTTTCCTATTTTCTGTTTTCTCTAGAAAAAGGGACGAAAGAAAGGAAAGCAAAGAACAATCAGCAGATCTTCTGAGGATGGTTCCATTGAAGTCAAACAGGAATCTTTCCAAAATGATGACAACATAGATGTTGCATCAGATCTTGAAAACGCACAAGACAGCAACAAAAAAGACGAAAGAAACGATCATACACATCAACAAGACAGCAAAAATGACTCAAATTCAGAAGACAATGCACAAARTAGTGATATTAACAATTCCGAATTATCATCAGGTTTTCGAAATTTGAGTACTGCTTCTCTTGAGAAGAAAGCAGATATTTTGAGTTCCGTTTCAGATAAAAATACACATAATAAGAAAAATAGCATTCCTGATGAAGCCTTAGATCTTAGTAATCTGAACTGTATTTCTGCAGAGGAAAGTACACAAGCGACACTCTTGAAKCAAGAGGATGAATATACATCAACTTCAAAACAAAATACTGAACATGAGTCGGAACACAATTCAAACTTGATCAACAGCTCTTCAGAAGATGTCAACGATAATGCTTTAAAAGTCAGCAAAAATATTTTAGATTCGGAGGAAGCCCAGCAAATATATTCAAATAGCACTATAGAAATAGGTAGTCACCATTTGTCGGAAATATTTTCAAACGACACTCCTACAAATAAAGCCAAAGATGTGTCAAGTTTAGGTAAAGAGTCGAAAGAAGCAACAAATTTTACCTACGTAGATGAGAAGTCGATAAAAGATCCAAATGATCACGGCACTAGGATCGATGATCACGGCACTAGGATCGATGGTCACGGCACTAGGATCGATCTTATGCAGGCTACAAATCAATGTCCATATAGTGAAGACGTTTATAAGGAATATGAATGCACAGCACATGTGGATAAAAGGTCAAATGAATTTGAAAAGTGCTCTGAAGAAAATGGTATTGTATGCAGTGCGAATGTGGCAGACACTTGTAATTCAGTCCCGAAGACTAAGAATCAGACTATTTTTGAGGAACGGTTTATCAACGTATTTGATGATTTGGAAGTGAAAAATGATAACAATAGCATAATTGATTGTAAGAAACACTCGGCAGTAGCTATACAACGTGATGCATGTCAAAGCATTATCCTCAAGGAAAAAGTCTTGTATTTGAACTCGGAGCAGAAAAATGATCTAAATGATCAAGACAGAGATTTTTCTTGCTCTGAGAAATGCGTAGATGCAAATGTCGAGGAAGTAAGCAAGTATTCTCTCTTAAAGCAGAAAGTTAGTTTTGTTGATGATGAAAATACCTCCATAAACTTGACTAGATCTTTTCAAAGTGACTTGAACTTAGAAGTTAACACAAAAACCTCAACAAGCATGCCAGATAATGACTCGAAAGACTTGAATAGTGGCTGTGACAAGAAATCTTTATTGACACCTGAAAACTACTCTCGTTCTCAGAACTGCAAAAAAGAACAATTTCAGGAGGAACTAACGACTGGCACGGCGTGTAGAAACGTATCACAAAGTAACGCTATTGAAAGCGATACCGGGAGTAAAGCCACGGACTTGAGCAGTATTGACAATAACTTTGACAGACCAAAATTTAATTGTGAACAATCATATGAACTAGAAACTAAGCAAGGTACTCAAGAGAATGAACAAGATAAAAGACGGGAAGAACTGTGTAAAGAGAAGAAATCGGGAAAGAAATGCTCGTCGAACCAACAAAATGAATTGGCTGAAACCAATATTGATAGCAACGTTTTGGATAGCTATAATGCCAATAGATCTCAAGCGGGTGACATCCCATCTCTTGAGGAATGCGACGCGATTTTATGCAATACAGTCAAAACGGAAACAACTTCACCTAACAGCTATGGAACGACTTCAACCTCTCCAAAAGTACACACCGTAGGCCCTCCTTATACCCTCTCCCCAGGGGAATGTTCGGTTCAGTCGTGCTTGGTCCAGTTTTGTTCGCCAGAAGTTCTCCAAGGAAAGAACAAGTTTTTGTGTGAGGTTTGCAGCAAGGGGCGAGATGAACAAGACGAAGATGATGGCGATTCTAGTGGTACGTAAGCCATCACTCRCTTTTCATTTCTGTAATATTTTTTTTCTTTTCTTGCCAGAACTCCCGCGCTTTGTTTCACGGGTCGCGTTGCATCAAGGGAAGTCSGACTTCCCTTGATTCTTTGCGCGGGCCTAAGAAAAAAGAAGAGTAACGAMCGGKTACAAGTCTGACAAACAGTTACTTTCGAAGYCATTGAATATATCAATGTATGCTCTTGTTGGGTTCTTGTCATATTAGTAATAACGTTACGTATTCATTATCCTTATTAGATGAGTCGACCAAAGGAGCAAAAGCTCCTAAGAGAGTCTACACTGAGGCAACGAAGCAGTTATTGATATCATCCACACCTCCTGTACTCACTCTACATTTGAAACGATTCCAGCAGGTTGGACATGGGCTGAAAAAGGTYCCTAAACATGTAGAGTTCCCATTCGTGCTGGATATTGCGCCATTTTGCTGTACAGGGACAGAGGTAAGCTAATGTTACATTGGGCCTGCTGGCTGTTATACATGCAGCCTCGAGAATAATTTCGTCATTTAGGAATGCATTTGTTTAATTATTCTTTATTTTTAAATTTTTCCCCTTGGCATTTTTTGGTCAGCATTAGAATGAAAAGAAAACTCTTCGTGTAGTTGATTGAATTACTCAGGGCCAGAAATAGGACAAACATCGCCTGATTGACAAAGTTAGTCGAGAAGGTCAATAAAAAATCCCGGGCCCAAAAAGATGATTTATATGGTATTTGATCAAGAAGCACTATCCAGTACTAGCAACATAACGCCGTCCATCCCATCCATCTACCCACATAACGGTCTCAATAGAACCATCAAACATTGTTATGTGACCCAACATTTTACCATTTGCCCAACTTTTATGGRATGTTGGATAGTGTTAGATATAGCGTCTTTTACTCAAGCGATGGAGCCCTATCACATCCCACTGCTTAATGAATAATTTTCTTTTTGAGCGGGAACCATTGCCGATCTTGAAAAGGTTGACTACCTAAAGCAAACATAACCATATACTATTAATATCGTAAAATGCTRCTGGGAATGTCCATTTCGTATGGACAACCTTTTCAAGTTCGGCTGTATAAAAAGCATGATGAAATTCAACAGATTGCTTCTGACTCAAGTAACACCGTTCTTTATTCGCTTATTGGATTGGTTGAACACAGTGGTGGTCTGAACAGTGGTCATTATACAGCTTRCATCAAACTAAAACACAAGCCATCATATCATCCTACAGACCTAGCAACCATAAAAGATCTTAGCTCTTTTATACAAGAAATTTGGAGCAAGGATAGACGAGCCGATTACACGCATCAGAGGCCTGGAGACGGGCAATGGTATTACGTCAGTGATTCGCGTGCTACTATGGTAACAGAAGATAAAGTGCTGCGGAGYCAAGCTTACATGTTATTTTATGAAAGACTTCCATTAAAGAGAACTTCTCAATGWAWTTTAAYGTGCTCAAGTGCGCACACTTATTGAATATATTTTGAATAAAGATTGAATGCGAACTTCGTTTTTTAAAAATAGCATTTATTGATTGCTACGGTGAAGAAATTATAACACCTCCTATCCTCCCATGATGCACTGGGTGATTTGCCCTTGCCAATAACTTCCCAACACGTCATACMACCGTTTTYCGGCCATATGTGCAAAAAATCGCTAGTGAATATGTCTTACGAATAAGATGGTAGTTTTATAAAAAGCGAGAAGAGACTCAAACACTTGTGAAAATTCAAATTGTGAGATAAAAGTGCCAATCCGATTGTGCACGAATTAAAACTGACATAACAAGTTTCTTCTGTATAGTTCTGGTACTTGGGGTCGATCACTACCGTCAGAACGAAGCTCGTGATTGGTCGAGACCACAAAAACAAATAATTCACGACTTTCCACACTCGGGTTCAGTGACCACAAACAAACCATTAAACCGAGGCCTCAAGCTACAGCGAACATGAAAGAAATGAACTGTAATCAGTGTTCCTTGACRCCTCTGTTCAATGCTTTGTTCGTGGTAWATGCAGAAAATACAATTCAAAATCTAATTCTTTCTTTGCAGAAGTGCTTGGGAGCAGCCTGTTATATTTTAAAGTGATTTTCTAAAGATGTCATGTGCACTTTGAAAGRATCTTCCGAAAACTAATATGTTTTTTTTATGCGCAGTAAATGAGCTCATGCATGTKGSCGAAATCTTCAAAGTGACACTCATGATCTTCTATAAAGGGACAGAAAGCTGTTTTATATAGTGATGAATAAAAYKTTATGAAGCAATTGCTCCAAACCACCACTGGGTAGTAGCGGATGAATCAGCGCTGCATCGGTGRTGTGGATTAWTGAGGTTGTAATATCCAAAATTTTCACAGTAATYGCYGYCAATTWCCTTGCTTGTGGCTGTATTGAGCTGAAGATCACATCCATSTYTAGTGCCSAWATAACTATCAACGTTGACGTGCCTATMAGAAWACTGCCTCATGTGCAYTGTGCACTCCGTGCAACTTATGTYTCGCACATTGGCGTAATCTACACGAAAACAAGCACTGSCGTAATTCTTCAGAACATCAAAGACCTGTATACTTCCTTTAATAAAGTCTGTCTTCTTCAAGCCATCCTTCTCGTAGTTACAGGTCGCTCTCCAGTGCGTTGCGTRACTCTGGATATGTTGCATGACAGAGAGTGACAGGCGGTAGTCGATCCAGTTAAAGTTGTTCTCGTTAACTGGRAAATCYTTGCTCAAAGGCGTGCGCTTATATTTTGGATTATTGGACAGAGCAAACGACTCTATTAGGGTCCAAACCATTCCAGGTTCAGAGGTCATGTCACAGTATACATTAATAAATGTACTTTTCGAAGTGTATATTAGGAAGACGTTAGCAGATGACCGTTTGCTGTATGCATTGCACGATACAGGCACGTCGCACACCCTTCCACTATACCCTGATGGACATCTGCACTCAAACTTACGCGTGACATTGTCACACAACTCAATACAAGTTGCTCCATTTTGACAAGGCGAGAAACGACAGCATCCATWGTTGCACTTGCTTGAGCAGCCAGATCCCTTTAAAAAATGAGACGAGTTGTTTAAGATATTAGAGTTTAACCTTTTTTGTCAGTGTAAAAGGGATGTCAATAATCATGTTATTGTGCGTCGTTACATAAATCAAAAGCGGCTCACAGTTTTTTCGCTCGTCCAGTAAAATTTCTGCGATTTTTTAGTCACGTCGCCGTACAACAAACGGAATTTTTCGACATTTGCTATGATACTGGAAAACCGTTGCAGAAGAAGTTGCTTTTACAGGACCCGTTCTCACTGCGATGGAAGTTTAAGCTCAAAAAAACAAACAGACTCATTTTTTGCATTTATTTTCAGATACCATCAGCAACCTCTGGTTGTTGCAATACTCTGTTCGCGGTCATTCAACCTGAGTATGTATTTATTTACCTTATTCTTGAATTCCTGCGTTAACTCAAAATAAATGTATCCAGGCTTTGGCTTGAAGCGATCAGCTAGAATTGTGTGCCTGTTCTCGTCAATCAGTTCGCATTGCTTACCGTGGAGCTGATATGATACACATCTACAATCTTGCACACAGATGCCAAAGCATTGCTTGATTGAATCTGTAGTAAGATTCTTGTAGGAACTTCCAAATAGGGCGTGGTCTTTCACGTGATCTTTTACGTCAAAGCTGCCTGTATATCTGATCATTGGACAAGTGGGTTGAAGGCACTTGACGATTGGCGCCAAGATAAGGCATATAAGGGCTCTCCACATCAGGTTCATAACGGAAAAAAGGAGAAGCTCAGCTCTTTGTAGTTCGCCCCTACAACGATAAGGCGCTTATAGCGCACTGTGCCGGTTATAAACTTTTACTTGCGCTTTCAAAGTGCACATGCGAGCCCTTTAGAAAATATTTTTTGACAAAAGGCAAATATAATGCTAGGCATAGTTTTGAAGAAAAAAAGTTGTTTGAATTTTATTTAATGRGTTAAAGGCATATGAAAATTAAAAATTATGCTGATGACATCAACCAAAGAATTGGTCTGCATTCAACAATTGTCTAATTATTTTGTTCGCTTACATAACTTCACATCTTCAATATCAGATATATCAGGGGCGTAACCATAATTTTCATTGTGGATACCAAATTGTCACTATGAAGTKATATGACGTCAATATAATGTCATATCAATCTATGGCTTTCGCGCAAAAGTCGAATCGTGATCGATAGAGGAGAAAAAAAAGCATCCGATGCTTGAACTCAATTTGACAAGAAGCGCGAGGGCCTTTTTCTTTTTGGAAATGCGCATCACCAATATGGAACGTCTTCATCAGGAAGCCCAACTGATGGTTTTTGATTTGAATTGAAACGAAACTGGCAAGACAGAAAACTAAATTTCTTAATTAATTTGTTAGTTCGAAACATATCGTCACAAACTGCACGAAAGGTTAGATTTTTTTGGTCTTTGAAAGGGGCGGGGGTGTTGAGGGGGGGAACGGGCACCCTGTGACAAACAAACAAACAGCCATGACAAGCTTGTTCATGTTCTTTTCTTAATTAATGCAGCCAGACATCGAGAAGATATTTGGAATAATCTTGACATGCAATGGAGAACAATAGGCGAGTTCACGCTTTACGATGAATCATGGGTAATCAGGGCAAGATTGCTAAGAGGTGATGGGGAAAGAGATATGTTTTTCGCAATATTTCGTTTCTGAGTTAAACATCCAAAACCAGACTCTTCCTGTACATTGATAATCGACTGTTCAATGTTTTGTGGCTATTTTTGAGCCGATCGGGTCATTCTTTCTGCGGCATGATTTTCTKCGGTCAAATTGAACTCTTTTCCTCCAGTCTTATCGCAAATATACTGCCTCTGTCCTTCTGATAATCAGTGTTTATATGTGGCTTAATTGGCTCAAGAACATCACAATACATGGAATAGAGGTATCTCTATCAACTAAAAAAGTTTGGTCCAGCAAATTTTCCTCAGGACGGAAATAAAGCGATAAAAGGATCTCTTTCCCCATCACCTCTTGTGTTCTTGTATCTCAACGTTGTCATGTCTGTGTCTGTGGAGGAACTTAAAGCAATTTTAGACTCTAAATTGAGTCCACTTCACAATGAAATCTCTCAACTGACAACTGAAAGAAAGCTTACGAGAGACAATTCCAATTTCTGGAAATGGCGAACGCGAAGTATGAAGAAGTCTCAAAAAAAACTCGAGGCATTTGAAAGCCAAAAGTCCCATCTCGTTGCTGRGAAYACAACATTAAAGAAAACTATTCAAGTAATGGAATCCAAGATTCAGCAGCTCCAGAAGGAATCGAGTAACGTTAGGCAATATACTAGACGAGATTGCCTGGAGATCCAATGTATCCCTTTTGCTAAGAACGAGAGCACAAACGCAATAGTAAAGCAAGTTGGTGATTTGATGGATGTCTACATTAACGACGAAGATAAATCGATCAGCCACCGCATGCCTTCTTCTAAAAGCTATAGATCATCACCAGCAGTGATCGTGAAGTTTGTAAGACGCGATATCAAAGAAAAAATCTATCGAGCCAGAAAGAAACTTAAAGATCTTACAGTGCGAGACCTGATGCTTTCAGATTTTGAAACTGACTCCGGAATATATATCAAGGAGTGCCTAACAGAGCAAAATCAAAAACTTTTCAATGAAACCCTCAAATTCAAGAAGGAGCACAAGTTTTCTTTTATCTGGACGTCCAATGGGATAACGTTCCTCAGGAAGGATATCGACTCTAAAGCCATCCCAATCAATATAGCAAAGATGATCTCAAGAAATTACAAGCCAGTACTACTATGACGTGATCAAAAGGTACTATTCATTGACTTTATTGTATGACTATGGACAATGATATTAATACTGTAAATAGAATTGCTGAGCTAAAAGAATTACCATCTCTTAGTATAAGCTCACCAATCTCAAACATTCCCCACCTAAATATTTCAGATGCAGATTTGCATATACCTTTTGAAAGTAACATTGACTACTATACTACTAATGACTTTAATAATAGCGAGGTCATACAAGAACGCTCAATGAATTTTAGCACAAATCCTTTACATCGATGAAGTCAAAGCAACACAAAACAAAAGATTTTTCCCTCTTGGGGACCTAGAGCAAGTGTTTTGTCGTGCAGATGGAACTCTATCCCACGAACTGCAAGGCGGCGTCTATAGGCTTTTTTTTTTTGACTACTGCCGATGATCATGTGCGATTGTTAGAGTGGTTTTCATAAACCCGTGAAACAAAGTGTAATAATTAGAGTGTAAAAGATCGTAATAGTCGCGTAGAGACAATAAAAAACAAAAGAGCCAAAATATAATAGCGATAGATACGCTAAAGTGTTTTTCACGGGTTAATGAACACCACTCTAGTGTGAAAATCTCTCTTAAAAAGCAATTCAAAAAGTTTATCAATAAAAAACAGCCAGACCAAAACTATGTAGTTTAACTAAATAAGTGATAAACTAAACCGTTATGTTTCTAACAAAAAAAAGGGTTTGGCTAAACCGTCGAAATATTAATTGAATAAAAAAGAAACATGAAAAAAATTAAAGCCTGAAAAAAAACCTGAAAATTTTGTGTCGAACGCCTTTTTACCATATAATTATCGATGAAATACCTAAATTTCTTCATTTCGTAAAATTGATATTTTCACTATTGAAAATAACACATTCGAGGTTTCTCTATATAGTGGAAGTAAGAAAAAAAGTATTTTACGACATAATTTGCTTCATATAATAAATGATAAACAGGATATTACATGGTCGCTTGGAGATACGAATTTTATTTTCTCGTGTTGAAAATCTCTGTTCAACACTCGAAGATAAAATCCGCATCCCCAAGCGCCCGTGCCAGTAATATTCGCTATTTATCTTTSAAGATATTGGCTTTTCAAACCAACTAAAACCATAACAAAARAAAATCATCAAGAGTATGCCCACCACGGTCATTTCTTTGGAAAACTTACAAGAGTTCTTCGATCGATTTTTCCTAAATTACAAAATTGCTAACAGGAATGGGCTCTTTTCATTTGTGGAGTATACTAACTTCAATAAAGTATTCCTTTATGAAGGTCAGAAATAAAAGTATATATTACAATTACCTAATGTTGTTTTTTTTCTGTGGCTTTTTGTCTGTCAGGTTAACGAGGTCAATTTTCACTCTTCGCTATATAAAGTCACAATTTTTTTTATCTTAGAAGTTTGTGAGTTATATATAGTAATAGTAATTGGTGTTGAAATACCTTACAATACTCCGGTTTCTAATTCTCTTTTGTGCAAGCCTGAGCTTCAATCAAGCATAATAATTTCGTAATTCCAGCGAGGTCGGAAATTGAATTTTCCGAATTTATTTCCAGAGGTCTTTCTCCCTGAGCCTCCTTCTCATTATGCACTATTCCTTTCCTTTATTTCTATATAAAAGTTTTATTGTTTCCTTTTTACACAGAGTATCTACATTACAATAGATTCTCTGCTGAATAAAATAATGAAGTTAAGTCTGCACAAATAAGATCTCGAAACTGGAGTATCATATTGCTGTAGAATGTACAGTACAATAAGGTAAAAGTTGTTTTTTGTCTGAATTGTTACCAATCGACAATCATATCACAGAAGAAATTTCTCTCTTTGGCCAGATCACCTGAGAGCAACAAATCTTAATTAAAATGCCGGCTTTGTTTATCTTTTTTCTTTGTGTGCAGTTAGTGTATTCGAGAAACAAAAATTGATAGTGAAATGTTTTCATTATAATTATCCATGAAATACCTCTATTTCCTCCCCGTTCGATTTGTCTCTATTTATTTTATAATTTTCTTTCATATATAATCATTTGATATATAGAATATTAATTTTTTTCTGGGAGAATTTTATATGCTCGTGTTGAAAAACTCTTTTCACAGAGACCATTTCGACAGTACATTCTAAGCTAAAATCCCTATCCCAGYGCGCCCATGCGTGTAATATATATGTTACCAATCATCTTTAAAATAGATTGATTATAAAGAGAGATTGAAGTTGAGAGAATTCCGGGACTAAGTACAATAACTTATTAAAAATAAAGTAGTTGAATCGAGGGCATTATGCTGTGAGAGCTGCACGTTAAAACTTGATGTTTAAAAACATACAGTTGCCAAGGACAACTATCAACTAGGTATTCAATACGTTTGTGGAAGGAATCATTCAGACTTGTTTCAAGATCGAACGATTGACAATCTGGAACCACTTGCTTTGAATGACCTTCTTTTTAAGTTTCTGAATTGAATCAGAAAAAAAGATGATACGGAAATTGAGCCTTCAAGTTTACGAGGATTTCTGTCAAGGCTTCAATTATATTTTTTAAAAAACATGATCCCACGATTTTCGTTAAAAATAGAGGATATTACATGGCATGGCGGCTCTTAGATACGAATTTTATCTTCGAGTGTTGAAAAGATCCCTCACGCGAGTGAGCCGTTAGCTATTTATCATTTTTTTTTCAAATCTTTGAACTTCTTAATCAGATTATTGCATGACTTTAGCTTGGTTTGTTTTGAGAAACCCCCGTTTAAGGTAAATTTCCTTCTCGCAACTCTACATATACTAACTCTTATTACGGCAAGATACTATGGACTGCGCGGGCGGGAAATTTCCTCATCGTCTACAAGGACAATCCGGATTAAAAGCTACCACCAATTACTTGATAACCGACATGGCGGTCAGTGATCTTATTGCTGGGCTTATTTGGTTTCCACTCAAGATAGTAGAAATAAACTTTGACCAACCATGGCTGATTGATGGAGACATTGGGAATGCAATGTGCAAGCTAACCTATATTGCCTATATTGCACTTCTCGGTATCGGACCGTTCTTCATGCATATACCGTTTTTTGCCAGCGCTGTTCTTCGCAATTTCTTACCTTTTAACTATCTGCAAACTTTATCACCACAAAATACCTGGAAAGCAGACACCTCAGCAAAAAAAAAAAAAGAAAACAGCAAAATAAAAAAGGTTTAAAACATGCTGTGACAACACCTTTGCCATGGTTTTTGCGTGACTACTAAGTTGCTGTATGCACAAGGAAAGCTCTCTTTTATCATTTTTTTTCTGCGTTTTTCGAGCAAAAAACAAATTTTGCCGGTAAGCAGTTTCTCTGTCCTCTGATATAAACACAGCCGTCACACGCTAATTAGCTTATATAATCTCTCAAAAACTTTTAAAAAACTTTAAAAGAAACTTTAAAAACTTTAAAAAAAAACTTTAAAAAGTTTCTTAAACCATTTGACGAAGAAGAATTTTCATATGGGAAGCTCAAAATTGCCAGGAAAACTTATTGGCCATGTTGTTTCAATATCTGGTGCTGATTTACTGATAATTAGGTTAAAACGTCTTAATAATATTCTTATGCTGATGAACTAAAAATTAATGTAAAAAAATGCCGTTTTCACCTGCATGCCCCAGGAAGTTCTTTATCATATTATGAGTTTTTTTTAACCCCATATGAAAATTCTAATTTGACATCATTCTTTTCAATAAAACATTGTGTAAATAAAGTTCGAATGATGATACGAAAATAAGATTATGTACTTATTGACTGAGTGGGAGGGCCGTAGGGGAAAATATTTGGCTCGAGGTTATGCCGTACGGACCGAGCTGCGCTCGGTCCGTACAAATGACCGAGAGCCAAATATTTTCCCGTACGGCCCGACCTAACTCAGTCAATAAGCATTTTATCATATGACGGCGTTTTTTAATGTAAAAAAATAAATAAAAGCGCGCGGAACTTCAAGCCGGGAAAATACGGGTTTGTACGGACCTGTCGCGAAAAGGCGTACGGACCCCATCACGTGACCATTTTCCAAAGGTTTCAGTGAGAGCGCGCGTAGGGCCGAAATACGGGTCATATGATAAACAAGGATATCGACGTGCTACAATTAGAGCCATTCGTGTTCTAATGAAGAAGGAACCTTTTAAATATCCTGAAATTGATCGTGTTACCTACTACGAAAAGATCATAGCGGCCTATTCTCTTCATTTTCTTTATCGCCATGATCGGACACATCCTTAGAGGGAGGGAAAATAAACATTTAAAAAATAAATGTCCCTTCTCTTATAAAACTGCATGTAAGTGTAAATAAAGTTGTCAAAGTATGATTGATTAAAATT